AAGGTACTCACCGATGGCCTGTGCCAGAGCAATGACCACATCCTGGCAGGAAGTCTCCTCAGATAGGCCGCATACCACCCGCACCACTCCATCCACCCACACTTTGAGCTCCATCTGGGATCAAGCAGGGCAGGGTGAAGGGTAAGATGGGCTTCAGAACAGATCACTTCAGCTTGGCTTGACTCAGATTACCGCTGCATGGCACCAGCTCTGCAAAAGACGAACAGCAGAGACACATGTACGGTCAGGGGCGTGTTAATCGGACTGATGACTAAATCAAGTTGCAAGAAAGAACTTTTGTGCAAGCAAGCAAACGAGCACCGCTAAAAAACTACGGTGACTTCACAGGGTTGTAGAGCATGACGTAATCACACCTCAGCTTGTTGGTAACCTAAACAAACTTCACTGAAAGCTGTGATTCATTCAGCTGAAATGCCAGTTTATACACCAAACAGCGCTGACGTCAAAACTGTACCATGCTGAGCGAGAGCATCATTGAATTGTAAATTTCAAGACCCGCAGCCGACGGGCAGAGCATTGTAACATTTTGTTAAGTTCCTAGCGGTTAGTTAAGAGCCTCGGCAGTATCTTGTGGACCTGGGAGCATAAATGCCAATCTGTAACCCAATTAAACGCTCTGCTGCCCTCCTTCAAAGCCGTTATGATAGCTTATTGCCGAGGGAAACAGACAGGGAAAGTGGAGCAACTCAAGTGTGTCTATGTTTGGGAGAGGGTGTTTGTGGGAGAAGAAATACACAGAAACATAGCAGGAGAGATAGAAGGAGCGCGTTCAGTTTGACCGGCCTCAGCAGGACCAGAACTGGGTCTCATCAGACTTCACAGGGCGCGCCGGCAGGTAGCCGAGCACATGTCTGAGCAGCCTGTTTAACCTAAAAAACTATCGCTATGTGCGGGCCTCCCCTCTGTCTCTACTTTTACAGCTCAACTTCAAAACAAGGTAATAAAATACTGTAGTGCACGTAAAAAAAAAAAAAGTGAAGTGCCTCGGGCGGAGGTAGAATTATCTGTAGAGCTTGGCACAGAAGAGGAAATTTTGTAGCCTAGGTGGGTAAAAGACAACTCTTCACCCACAGTCAGACAGATGGTGTTCTCTTTCTGTCTGTCTCTCCGGCGCTCAATGGGAGGTGTTTAATACTGAGCCCCACCATTATCTTGCCCTTCATTCAGCGCATGGCTGTGCTCCACTGGCCGCCTATAGGGAGTTGCTTTGGAGGAATGCACTGACTTCATCTGCCAGCCGGAAGAATTCCTGCTTTTCTTAACAAATCCCTCACCCCCGCCCCTCCCCTGCCGCTGACCTGGCTGCCCCGCACCGCCATTACTTCTCCGCTGTTTGGACGCCAAACACAAACTCTGCTGGGGAGCCGCAGCCTATCTGATGTGGCAACAGCACACCAGCTCAACGTGACACCGCGTACGGAGGGAGGGGATGACGGCACAGCTCGGAGATTGAACCCCGCGGAAAGAGACGGCAGGAAACGAGCGGGAGATAGCGGCGGATGATCACATGTGGCAGAAATTCTTTTTCGGGGCAATCCGAGAGAGGTGATTTCATCTGGAAAGAAACTGGATATGAAAAAGGGAGTGCTTATCAAAATCAAACACGAGACATTTCAACACAGCCGGGGTGTCAATATTGTTCTTTGAGGGAGCACAGAGCGTCCTGTGTTGCAATACATAATTAAGTCAAACTGGTTGAATTACAGAGCGGGTTGATCATTTACTCGAGCTCTGAGGCTTTTTTTAAACACACCAATGAACAGGAAGAAACATTTTGATTCTTGTCCAATGGTATGCTCCCTTACAGGACAGAGTAAACTTTACTCTATACAAAAAGCATCATCATGTCGTGTAAGTTTCAAGAGAGGTCAGAACATTTCTAGTCGAACACATGACTGCATTTATGTGGAAACAAGGGGCCTACCTATTTTATTTTTAATATACAAAATAAACTTGCAGACAGTAGCTCACCTCAAGACTTCTACATCAGTTCAAGACTTTTATGTACCATAACAATCACATTAGACGAGAACAAAACATCTCCCAGCTAAGAATGTCACTCTCCCATGATGCTTAGCTCTTGTACCTCCTGGCTGGTGAAATGTGATAATCTGCACTAACAGGAAACAAACAGGCCTGTGCGTCTCAGGTTGCTGTCTATTCTTTTTGTCACAGGCACAACAACACCGAGAACCAGACATCCGCCTGACCCAGCTCATTTTCCTCCGCACAGCTCTGGAGTCCCATGTCACCTCACATGGAAACACAGGCGGAGGAGAGGCACCTTCACAACGCCGCTTGTGAAGTGGAAATAAAGATCGGGTCGCGATACCGGCTGCGGTGGTGTTCGAAATCCTGCGAAATCTTTCAATCCACACGGTCGGCGAAGGAGGACGAGTTGGCTGCGGAGTTTGTGGTTTCAGAGTCAACATGCAGATGCTGTGGACAAACACAGGCTGCAGATTTGCTTTGCACATGTTCGGAGCGGCTGTGAGCACACGCCCAATTCTAATCCGAGCCAGTAAAGTTCCAAGCCCACAAGACAACGCTCCACACCTCCCGACCCCACCCCTTAACCGCAGGTCTCACCCAACCCAACCCCCCTCCTCAAAACGAGACAAAGCACATCCCAATCCCTGCTTTTCACCCAGGCGGGTCCCACCCACCCAAACAACACAGATTTAGCAGAGACTCTGACCTTTGGCCTGTCGCCTGTCTCATCCCAAGGGAAGAAGTCGTACCATCGCTTTTGAGGTTATCGTAAAAGCGAAGCAATCAAAACATCTCCTGCTCCGAGCTCTGACAAAAACAAAACCGTACCCACAAAAAAAAAAAAAAAAAAAAAGAAAAACACCACTCGAGGAGCTTGTCTGCTGAATTGAATCCAGAAAACCAGTCACACCGTATGATGAAAGGGAGCGAAAGTAAGACAGTGAGGAAGACAGACGGTGAGCAAACGAGAAAGGCAGAGAATAAATAAGCGAGGAAAAAAAAAATAAAATGCTGACAGATAAAGAAGGAGAAGGGCTGGTAGAGAAAAGAGCAGTGATTAGAGCCATGTGCCATCCTCTCCCTTCCCTCTCATCATCACTCACCCATCTAGCTAACCCGCTTTGCGTCTTTCATCACCCTGTCTTTGCCGCTGTCTGTCTCTCCTCAATAACAGCCTCCCAGCCTCCTCTGTGAATTCGACTGAAGGCAGAAGTGGTTAGCGTCACGGCCCGGCAGACGCGCGGGGCATGATCTGGCTCGTCTTTTGTGCCACTCTGTGTGAGCAACAGTGCCGAGCTGTGAATTGATGGGCCTTTCTGGACACGCCAGGCAAACAAGAGGCTTCCGTGTGCCACATTTACAGCAGTTTACTTCCAAAGAAAAATAAACCGACAGCACATGACACCCCGAGGCTCGAAATATTTCAGATTTCTTTCATGCTGGATGTCCACTTTGTGGTGCGACTTAATTTCTCTGCAATTAACACAAGCATCTTTCCCAGACACACATCTAGCGGGACATGTAACACACACTCAAACCCTATTTCTTTTTTGCTTACTCATCCAAAAAAATGCATACATCCATAAATTCACACATGTGTTCATTCAGCTCGGCAGACACACCCTGGAGCCTCAATTTCCTTGAGAAGGTATGAACAGTTAATTTCAGTTAGTCATGAACGGAATTGGGAAACATGTGGAAACGAAAGCTTTCCAGAAAAATTCCAAAGCTAAGTAACTAATGTACTGTAGCTACGCAATGCCTGAGGCTACATGAAGAGCAGGCTTCCTGGGTGTGTTTGTGTGCACACAGGGAAGCGCAGAACACTATGTCGTGCTAGAGCAATGGTCAAAGGTTGGGTATGTATGCCTTCATGTACCAGCTTGTATGTGTAAGTGGGCTTGGAAGCAGACGTGCCATTTAGGCCTATCTTTACGAGAGGCTGCACCAACTCGGGAGTGATTACTGCGCTATCTCTGCAGCAGCAGAAGCCTGAGAAACAATGGCAGGAGTGAAAGGGCAGAGCGTACATCACAAACACTGCCTCAGATCTCAGCAACAGATGGATACACAAACACAACAAGTGTGGACAAACAGTTTTCCCTATCAGTATCTGCAGAGAAAATAAGACCCTGGCCCAGGCTGGTTTAAGTGTACATAATAGGATAGACATTACTGTTAGAGGACAAAGCACAGCGCTGGGGGAAGCTGTGCCCTCTGTGCCACTCGGCTCCAGGTTGGCAGAGACAAACACTCAAAGAGCCAGGAACACGCTGGCACCGAGCAGCCCAGGCTCATCTCTCCTGCAGAGACGCTATTGTTGCTCTAGTTCCACACTCAGCAGACAGTGTTGCCTCTTTTGTGGCCTCTGGCACGGCCGAGTCGTCGGCCACGCCAGCTTTTTACTGCCACTCTGGTGTGTCCACATGTTGCCACCGATAAAACTAATAAAAAAAGGGAAAACAGATACTTTCTTTTGTCCTGCCTCGCCCTCTGCTTTGCATTCTTTATTCCACCTCCTCCTCCTCCTCCTCCTCCTTCGTCGTCTTCCACTCAAACAAGTGAGCACAGTTTATGTCTTCAAAGACCGACGAGGGCAAAAACAAAGAGAAAATTCCATGGCATGGTTGAGAACAGCACAATAATTATTCATAATGGTAGAAAATGGCCTTTTTTTGCTTCAGTAATAGAGCTATTTCTCTGGGGAAATTGTGAGCTAAATCACATGGGTATTCTCAGGCAGACAGAAAAAAAAATTCTAATGTCTAATTACAGTTTGCACATCGGCTCTAAAAGTTGTAAAACACACAGAAAAACAACTGTAAACATCATGAACCTCTTTGTTTTTCTGCGACTGTTCATATTTGAACAGAAGCATCCAGGTGGTGCTAGAAGGAACCAGGTCAAAAACAAAAAGCATCATTATCTACAGTGTTTGCAGCCACAGTCCCGGGGCTTCTGAAGGTTTCCCAACATGGCACTAGGATTTCTACAAATGTCACTGTGTTTCTTCTGTCTTATTCTCTTTTCTTGTTGTTAAAAATAAGAATCAAGAGAATTTTCGTAAAGTATGGAGTATATATTTCCTCTCATTTTGAAAGATCGCAAGTCTTCCCAACAGTAAAAAGTTGCCAGAAGGATTAAACCGTGCTAATCCCTGTAAAAAAACAAAAAACAAAACAGCTGTGCAGGCTTCG